CACTTTTTGCTGAACCTCTGGAGAACGTAATCCCCCCTATCAAACACCTGAATAAGAATGTCATCAGCATAGGATGTGATGCTGCATTGGTTTCCTAACTCATCATTGAACTTGCAAAGAGAGTGCATAAGTATATCAAACAGTGTTGGGGACAACACTCCCCCTTGTGGAGTGCCTAATTCCAAATCGTCATAAGCGCTATACATGCCTTGATACCACACTTTTGCTCTTCTCAAAGATAGATAATCCTTTATCCATAGCAGAAGCTTGCCCTTAACTCCTAAAAGAGTTAGTTCATGGAGGATTGCAGTAGGGGAGACTGTCGAATGCTCCCTTAAAGTCTATGAAGTAAGAAGACTGTGCATTACGTCCATTTAGGTACTGTGCTAGACACATTTGTGTTCCTCTCCCTTTTGAAAGCCAAAGACAGATGGATAGATCATGTCTTTGATCTGATGGAGTAAACGAGTGAGGAGAATTCTTTCACAGGTTTTTGACAGGCAGGACGTCAGAGAAATTGGTCTATATTCATCAGGCCGTCCTGGTTTTGGAATGGGAATGATGGTTGCCTGTTTCCAAGAGGTAGGCAAGATGCCTGTCATGTAGGTTAAGTTGAAGAGATCAAGAAGAGGATTTCTTCCCTTTACCTGTACTTTTGCAAGAAGTCGGATGATGTCATAAGTGATTCCATCATCCCCAGGTACGGTGGATTTGCTAGTCTTAATGGCTGCAAGGAGTTCCTCCCTTGTAAATGGTGCATCAGCCTCATCTAAAAGGTGGCACTGGTAGTCAATTTCGTTTTTATGGCTTAATTTAAGGGAACACCTACGTATGGATAATGGAAGGCTATCAAGAGAAGAATCCTCACACCATTTATTGAGGAGAGATGAGGCTACCCTTTCTGGATGTGGGTGGGGTGTTATACTGCATGGATTGCCTTTGATCTTGTTGATTTCCTTCCATACATTACTCATGATTGTCATGGAGTCAATTGATTCTGCCCAGGCATCGTATGTAGATCGTATGAGTCTCCTAAGAAGTTTTATCTCAGGGTCTTTGTTCAGTTGTTGTGCACGTCTACCTCTGGAGGATAAAGATCTGTGATTGGCAGGGCTTTTGGGCTGTATTTGAGTAATGATATTACCAACTTGCTGACAGAGGGTTTCATTAAAATGATCCAGGCTGGTAGGAGTAAAGTCTTCATACCAGCAGGCAATTCTTTCAATGAATTCATTGTGAAATTTAGTAGCAAGGTGGTATCGAAGGCGTGGCTGGGATGGGGTTCTTTTGCAAAAGGGGAGGGTTATACTTAATACCCAGTGATCACTAACTAAGAATGGGATGACTTCCGCAGTACTTGGTAGTGTGTGCTGATTGTATAGAGCTATATAATCCAATTTCCCTCCCAAATAATGAGTTTTTTCGAGGGGGCATAATAAATGTATGGGATCACTAGTATTTTGGAGATAGTCATAATAAACCTTACCGTTTTTTCCAATGGTACTTCCCTCGGAGCCTAGGAGAGGATGGAGAGCATTAAAATCCCCACACAATAAGACAGTATCAGTATGTATCATGCAGTCAGGAGGTTTAGGTACCACCTCACTATCATGTGGATTATATACATTAATGATGGTGATAGATTAATCGTCTAGAAATATTTTAATACTAAGATATTCAACACAGGAGTTGTCACGATTGTCATCAATCACTTTCGATGGAATTGAGTTCTTTATGTAAATACCAAGCCCTCTTGTAGAGGGGTTAGTAATATTTGGTCTGTCATAGTATGTGCATCCCGCAATTTTTGCATAGCGAGCACTAGTTCTGACTTCCTGAAGGCAACAAATCAATATTTCCGGAGTGTAGATATTGGGAGAGAGTTGCCTTGCGTTTCTGCAAACTGTTTATGTTCCAGGTAATACATTTCAAGTGATTAACTGGAGACATTGATTACTTGGCCATTTCCGAGGCCCACTACAGGGTGATTCTGTTGTTGATTTAGGAGGAACGAGAACATCCTTTACTGAAGTTGAGATTGTTGAGCCATTTGTTGCTGCATCATGAACATCATCTGCTCCATCTGTCGAAGTAGCATTTGCAGTAGTTCTTTGATTTCACCGTTGGACTCTTGTTTGTCCTGTTTTAGAGGGGGCTGAGCTGCAACTGATGCTGAAGCTGGTGCTGAAGCTGGTGCTGAGGCTGGTGCAGTAGATGGTGCTAAAGTTGGAGCTGCAGCTGGTGTTGAAGGTGGTGCAGAGACTGATGTAGCATAAGGTGCTAGGGCTGGTGGTACAGCGGGTGCTGGTGCTTGAGCTGACAGAGCTTGAGCTCCTGCTTGTGCTGGTACTGTGGCCTGCGCCTTGGCTTCCGTTGCAGGGGCCATCACTGTTGGCCTCTGCAGGTGTGGGAATTCCCTCACATCATCGAAGCGCGGGGCTGGCTGGGATTTTTGTGGGGGGGAGGGCTGCCTGCTCTTTTTACTTTTTTTTTTCTGTCC